CTGCTGTCATCCAGCTGGGATTATCTGTCTGACTCCATCCACTGTGCTATATTGTCTGCCTTAGCCGTTTTTTCCATATTTGTAAACTAGAGGTAATACTGGTACTCTATGTACTTAGAATAGCACTTTTCAAATTGTAGGTCATGGCATATTACTGGGTTATGAAATTGATTTAGCAGGTGAAAAAAAAAAAGGAAAGAAAATATCTGAATTCATCACAATTGCTGTTCCTGAAACTTTTGCTTCTGGGGTGGGTGTGGGTGTGTGTGTATGTGTCTGTCTGTGTCTGTCTGTCTGTGTGTGTCTGTGTCTATATGTCTATCTATGTATATATGTATGTATGCACAAGTGAAATGTTACACGGGAAAATAAATTTCCTACCATGGGTCATTGTCAGAAGATTTAGAGCTACTTTTCTGGAGTTATTGTAAGTGTCAAATAAACATGAAACATTGTTGCAGAACCCCTTGTAGACTCTAAAACACCCTACAAGTCTAAGTTAATATTATTTAACACTGGAAGCTGAAGCAAATAGATAAAAGATAGCAGATAAGTGCTGCTATGCTGTTACTCCACTGATTCAGTCCATCACAGATAATGCTAATCTGTCACCACATTGTGTCCAGTGGAACCAAGACTCAGCCTTCTGAGTCATGCTAGGCCTCAACATGAAACCTCCTTGTAAACCCAGCAATAGGCTCATGTTTTGTTGGAGTTCGTCAGGACCAGTCTGTGGTTATAAAGTACTGCTTGGCACTTACAGAGCTCTGGCTCTCATTTAAACGCCAGGACAACAGATGCAATCCCTATGACGGCATGGGGGTCTCTGCATTACAGGTTCCAAAAGACAAAGGAGGAGGCTACTGTTTTCTCCCCTCAGTAACACTCCCCCCCACCCCACTTTCCTCATCTGGAAGTGATCTGCTTCCTTCTGCTTCTCAAAGAGTGTCACATCAATCCCAAGTCCCCATCCATTGTCCCTTGAAACAAAGGTGTCAAGAGGCCCCTCTGTCAAGGCTGTTTTCCTTAGAACATGCTCTTTCTTCAGTAATTGCAATTCGTGAGGAAACGGCAGAGAACATGGGTGCCTATGCCCCAACCCTGCCTTGAAGACATGCCCCTCAGGAGATGCACTGCTTCTCAGCTGATACAGCAAACTCTCAATGGTCGCAAAAGGAACAAGGTTAAAACCACAAGTGGAACTGTTTCTCTGCACCCTGCAAAGAAAACCTGCAGAATTGGCCGTTTTCTCAGAAGGCACCACGGAAGAGTCCATGTGGACTGAGGGCTCTGAAAGGCATATCAGAGACTCCTCCAGTGGAATGTGCAATGCACAAGAAACTTTATTGTGTATGGATTTTAAGTCAAGACTCAACATGACATTCTGGACTGTGTGAGAAAGAGCTCAAGCAGCTCAATTACTGGGCCAGAAAGCAGGCTCTCGGTGTTTTATAGACGTCGCTAATCGCTAATGAATGAGTCCTGTGGCCTCTGCTGGACAGGCTTCCCAGTGCTCTGCCAGCCTCCCTCCTACAAATCTGTCAATTTGTCAAGCTGTAATAGATGGCTGGTGCCAGCAGAGGCTGAGGTCTGAGCCTTTCTCGTTGGGGTACATTGAGATTTCAAGTCACTAGTAATTCATTCTGGAGTAATGAACATGGCCGTACTAAGTTGTGAGCAGTAATAATCAAGTGACAGATCAATTTATTACTTCACTGTACCAAAAGATAATGGTAGTTGGTCATGAAAGGTGCAGCTTTTTTCCCCAAAAGTTTTATAAGACTTAGATCAATGTGTTTTTTAAGTTCTAAAATAAAAAGGATCATTAAAAAGGAAATTAATTATATTGGGTAGCCTCAAGCTTATTTATATTCAGAGTTGCTTATCCAGAATTACTGTACCTTTTTTCCAAAAGCCTTTGGGCACTGGGGCCTGCAAATCGGAGTAATTATCACTTGTTAATTAAATCTGAGAAATAAAACGTAGCTCCAGACTTTGGAAAGAGAGGTTGGGATAGTTGAGATACATTCCTAAAAAAATCATCAGTAATAATATGAGGTTTTATGAGTAAGTAGCTATGTTGAGAATAATTGTTTATGTCTACTCAGAAGCTCCTATCATCTTTTAACACCCAGCGAACATTTCCTCTGCTTCTCCTGGGCCAGCAGGCACTGTGCTCAGCACTGGTAGTACCACCTAAAATAAGCACAGTCTCTATCCCAAGGCACCAGAAGAGACGTTAATAACATGTAATAAATACAGGAGCAGGCCAGCACTTCTGCCTTCATTGAGAGGTGGAGGATGAAGGAAAGACTAGAAAGAGACTGCAGAAAGGAAGGGAGCCAGTGGAGCTGAGCCTGGCAGATCAGTGGTTTGCCAAGCAAAGAAAGAAGAGTAAGAGCATGCCAGGCAGAGGAATGACAAAGGCAAATAGGTGTGAAAGGGGAAAGAGAATGGATAGGGAATTATAATAATAATGGTGACCACACTTCCTACGCATTATCACATTGAATCTGCACAACCTCATGAAGTAAGTCTATTATTCATCCTAAACTGCCCTCTCCCCGCTTTTTTTCCTGAGGAATATTCACCCTGAGCTAACATCTGTTGCCAGTCTTCCTCTTTTTGCTTGAGGAAGATTTGCCCTGAGCTAATATCTGTGCCAGTCTTCCTCTATTTTGTATGTGGGTCGCTGCCACAGCATGGCTGCCCACAAGTGGTGTAGGTCCATGTCCAGGAACCCAACCTGGGCCCCCAAAGAGGAATGCACTAAACTTAACCACTAGGCTACAGGGCCAGCCCCCCACTCCCTTTTTTTCAAGATGTGAAGAACTCAAAGCTTAGACATATTGAGTCACTTTCTCAGGGACCCAGAGCTGGGAGATGGCAGAGGAGGGGTTAGAGGTGAGCTGGGAAAAGGTGTACTGTTTTGTAAGAGTTTGGACTTTATACTAAAAATAATGGAGCCCACCAAGGGTTTAGAATCATGATTACCAGAACAATCAAAATAGTAAAAGCATTGCTAAACACTTTACATATGCTGTGTCGTTGTGTTCACTCCCAGCAACCCAGGGAGGTATGAAGCCATTGTAGTTTTCAGCAGAGGAATGACATTATCAGAGCTGAGTTTTAGACAGTAACTGGTGGTGACAGGCAGGATAAAGCTGAACCTAGAGATTCTAGTCAGGGAAACTAGTTAGGAGGCTCTTGCTTTAGTCGGATGTAGTGTTGAAGAGCATGATGGTGAAAAATGATCGTCATCCAAACCATGTATTTTTATATTGGTCTCCAATTTAAAAGTATTTTCATACATAAATAGCTTATTGATTCATTTGCACAAGGGACTTTTGTCATAAGAGGGGTAAGTCTACTGACTTAGCTAATTTGAGAAGGGAAGTATAAGGGCATGGTATTCATTTCCTGCACACAGGAGCTCATGTTGAAAGTAGTGATGTTATAAGCAGCTTGTAAATATGTGTTACTTGCTGATGGACTGAGGCACAGAACCAAAGGCTTTCTCCCTTGCCGGGTGAGAACTTGACCATCTGCATTAGCACTTTCAGACTAGGAACATGATGTGGTTCTGGGTAGAATCAGGAGATTCAACTAGAACTCAAAAAATGTTTGTAAAATATTTTCTTGTGGACCAGAAACAGGCCAGGATATCAGTGGCAACTCTCCTTGCTACAGGTGTTGCTTAGCAATCAAAGAGCAAATTGTCCTCCTAACTCTGCTGTTCCTCAGTTAAAGTTTCATGCCTCTAACCACTTCATGCCCGTTTCAGAGGAGGAAGTTTTTATGAATATAGAAGAGTACACATGTGCTGATAAAATTGGTTGATGTAGTATTTCAGTAAAGGCTCAGTGTCAAAACCAGCGCTTAAGTCAGTAGAACCTCTTTTCCTCCTACAAAATAGAAGTATACAAGAGAAACAGTGCAGGCTTTTATAGAATTGTGTGAAAAAATATTCAGTATAAATAGCACTAAATGCTAGGGAGGTATGTCTGTACAAACTGCCATCTCTGCCCAATTTCTCTCCAGTTTTTCGTAATGAATAGTTTCCTTCTTCTAACAAGTGATTTAGGAGAACCCCTAATATTTTCTTAACAATACTGAATGGCCTTAACTTTTAATTTATTTGTTGTCAATAGTTAATTTGTGTATTTTTATAGGCAGGGCCAGCAGATGAATAATTAAGTTTTATGGCTGGGTCATGGTGGCCTGGTGTGGAGTTCAGATATGTGCTTTGAGTAGCTGTTTATCTAAAAATATGCATATGTGTTTAGCAAATTACTCAAACCCAGCTATTGCTGCCCCTGTGTGTTGCTTAGACTTGAGTATAAGCGACAATATAAACACAGCCATATACATGGATCTACAGTAGTGTGTTTTTATTTCTGTTTATGCCACATATTTCACTTAAGGTGAGCCACATTTTTAATGTGATGGGGCTTTAATAGTTTGAGCCTGGAAGTGCTGAATTTCCTGACTTCATTTTAAATATCCAGATCTGCCCATTTTAAAAATTAGGTCTATTTTGTGCCATGTTTACAAATGTATTAAAGCCATCAAGAGTTTTTATATTTGCACTGGAGAAAATGCTAATAATCACAGTGGCTTAAGCAGCAGCCAGGTATAAAAGTTGTAACTAAGAGGGATTAGCCGTTACCGGGATTTGTAGAGCAGGGGTTCAGATGCGCTAAGGTTCATATTTTGGAAGGCAGCTGCTTTAGTTGGTTAGTTGTTTTAGGCAAAATGGAAATGGGATGGAGTGTCACATCCTGAAATAGCAAAATAGCCTCAACACTGAAGATCTCTGAAACTTTGGCAGACAAAAATGTGAGTAGAAAAGTCTCTTTGGACTCCAAGGGCATTGGAAGATGCCCCAAGTTCTGGCTCCTATTGGATGAGGAACCTAAAGATAGGGAGGGTGCGGGGTGTCAGCTGTCTGTTTGTACACTATTTCTCTCATTTGTGCCTTTTCTTTTCCTTCCTCTCAGTGTTGCTAACAACCATAAGCAGAATTTGATGACAGTGGCAAACCTTGGCGTGGTGTTTGGACCCACCCTGCTGCGACCTCAGGAAGAAACAGTAGCAGCCATCATGGATATCAAATTTCAGAACATTGTCATTGAGATCCTAATAGAAAATCATGAAAAGGTAATGTATGTTTGGTCACTGCGAGTGAGGAATTTACCTTGGGGGAAGCTGAGTTGGAACTGGCATTCGGGGTTGACTGGGGTTCACCTTGAAGTTGCTGACAGTGGTGGTGCTGATAATCATCTCATAATGGCAGCAGTGGTAACAATGGCAGTTCTGAGGGCAACACTAGTGGTTATGGTGGCGATGGTGGTGGGCAGCATTTATTGTGTACCAGGAACTGTGCTAGGCACTTTATATATATATGTTCTCCTTTTATCCTAACAACAATCCAGTGAAGAAGGTACTATTATGAGCCTCATTTTGAAAATGCCTTTTCTCATTTTTTTTTACTTAATTGTCCTCTTATGAATTTGTAAGAGGTTTTTTTTTTATATTAGGGATATTAAACTATTTTTATTTGTGTGCAGATATTTTTCCTAATCTGTAGTTTGCCTTTCAGTTTTATAAATGGTATATTTTTTCATTGTTTATGTGTGTGTGCTGTGTGTCTTTTCCTTTAGGGCATTGGAGTTTCTGGTCTTTTTTAAGAAGATCTCCCTCCACCCAATATAGTGAGGCATGTCAACACAGAGCTGCCCTTACAAAACTGGGCTAGGGCACATGAAGCTCCACCCGTCTGTCCCACTCCAGCTCCTAGCAGCAAATCCCTATGAAGCTTCTCAAAACCTGCAGGGTCCCCTAGGGCACCATTTGATAGCCACAGCTCTGGGATCTAATAAAAAATGCTGCTCCTCCTAAATTAAATCTTTACCTAGAATGATGAGTTAATTGTGCTGGGTAACCTGCAAAGTAAATCTAGAATCTGACTACTTCTTAGCACCTGCACTGATAACACTCTAACAGAAGCTACTGTCATCTCTGGTCTGGACTTTTACAGGAGCCTCTAATTTGTTTCCCTGCTCCCACCCTTGCCCTGTCTATTCTGGTATCGGCTGCCAGAGTGAGATTTTTTTAAATATCAAGTTAGATCATATCTCTTATCTGCTAAGAACCATCCAGTGGCTTCCCATTTCACTGAGTGAAAGTCAGAGCCTTACAAGAGCCTAGAAGCTCCTACACGGTCTCTGCTCTCCCGACTGCTACTTACCTCATTTCATTTCCTACTGCCTCTCTTTTATTTCACTTCTGCAGCCACCTTGACTGCCTTGCTGTTCCTTGCACACGCCACACACTCCCACCGCAAGGCCTTTGCAGTTGCTGTTCCCAGTGCATGGCACACTCTACCTCCATACACATGGCATGTTTCCTCACCTCTTTCCAGCCTTTTAAGTGAGGCCTACCTTGATCTTCCCTTTAAGATTGCCAACAGTCCCATCCTCCAGCACTCCCCCTCCCCTTGACCCTGTTTTCTCTCTCTCCGTAGCACTTACCACTTTCCAGCACACTGTGTAATTTATTTATTGATGAGATCTGTTGCCTTTCTGACCTCCACTAGAATGGATGCTTCATGAGAGCAAGGACTGTTGTCTATTCTGTTCACTGCTTTGTCTCAGTTCCTCAGTAGGGACTCAGTACATGTGTGTTAGATGAATGAATGGGCTCTTGTGGTAGCTAGCCTCCAAAATGGCTCCCAGTGACCCTTGTCTCCTGGCATTCACTCCCTTGTGTAGTCCCCTTCAACTGTGAATAGGGGATCCCAATGTGATCAGTAGAGTTGGTCAGTAGGAAAGTGATCCCTGTGTGATCAGTAGGATATTGTGAAAGTAATGGAGTGTGACTTTGGAGATGAGTCATAAACGACTTTGCAGCATTTGCCTTGGTTGCTGGATTTGCTCACTCTGGGGGAAGCAAGCTACTGTATTGTGAGGGTGGTCACACAGCCCTGTGGGGAGGAAGTGAGGCTTCCTGCCAACAACCAGTCCAACTTGCCAGCCGTGTGAGGGAGCCACTTTGGGAGTGAATCTTCAGCCCTGGTCAACCCTTCAGATGATGCAGCCCAACCTGACATCTTGAGCACAGCCTTGTAAGAGACCCTGAGTTAGAACTACTAAGCTGAAAGCTAAGCCTCTCCTGAATTCCTGACCCACAGAAACTGGGAGAGATAAATGTTTTAAGTCATTAAGTTTTGGGGGTAATTTATTATGGAACATTAATGAATACTCAAGAACCTTTGAATATAAACTTTCAAAAAGTAATAGAGGTATACTGCAAGGTTGTTTAAGCAGCATAGCCCCCTCTTACGTGGTTAATAAAGAGATATATCATCAAATGCCTTATTTGAAGAAATTCTCTCTCTATTGCAAACTTTGGACCTTCATCCAGCCACCTCCCTCAAATATAGTGAATCTGGTATGGGAGAAGCTTGTTATATATAATAAAAAAGAACTTGTGAAAACGGAATAGAATCAAATAGCAGTTAATTACATGGTTTCTAAAGACAAACCACTTGGATTCACATCTGCTGCCTCTTACTAGCTGTGTGACCGTGAGCAGATTACTTAACCTCTCTATGCTCATAAAAGTACTTTCAGTACAGTCTAACCACTGTAACAAACAACCCAAGAATATCAGTGACTCAGGACAGTAGAAGTTTACCCTTGCTCACTGCGGGCATTCTGAGGGTGGCTTCCTGTGTGGTGATTCAGCAACCCAGCTTCCTTCCATCTTGTGGCTCTGCCGATTTCTGCAGTCAGCCAGTTGATGGGGGAAATGAGACAGCATGCAAGATTGGGTAAGATTGCATGGGCCAACTCTAGAAGATGCTTTCCTTATTTTCTTCCACATTCTTTTGGCCAGAACTCAGTCATATGGCCACATCTGACTGCAGGGGAGGCTGGGAAAGCAAGCTACTGTACTCAGAGGAAAGGGAAGCAAATTGGATGAACAGCTAGCCAGTGTGTCACGTTCCCTCATTTGGTCTGTTGTGAGGATTAAGTAAGGTGATTTCTGTAAAGGATATAGCCAAGGCACTGGTATGTAGTAAGAGTCAGTAACTGTAAGCCATCGTGTTTAGCAGTCTCTACAGAATTCTCTGAAAATAGAGCTCAAGTCCATGTCTGAATGTCATATGTGCCCCTCTCCCCAAATAATACTTTTTATAACTTAATCTTTTCATAAATAATATTAAATGTTGAGACAGATCTCTAAGCTGTAAGCAGTGTGATTATGTTTCATGTCCTAAAGGGCATATTCAAACTTATAGCAGGCAGCCTCTAATGGTTTTTGAACTGTGACTGTTTTTGGTGTCCTTGGGCCTTCAAGGCCAGAAAACATATTCAAAAGCGGCACGATGGAAAAAAAGACCGGATACTGCTAATAACAATATTGAAACTTGTGTAAACAAGCAACCATCCTACCTTGGGCACAAAATATAGAAAGAGAAATGAGATATGAAATGCATGGCCAGGCTTGTAAGTATGCGGGCAAGAACTGTTGAAAATACTCATCTGGTTCATGAATTATAAATTCTCTTACTCTCTGCTGTGTGTTTGGTGAGGTATATATCAAAAGCATATTACAGTGCTTCGTTGTATGTTCTTTTTCATTAGTCTGTGCCAGAGATTGGGATGAATCACAGTGAGATTTATATTCCTGTGGGAGCTGATGAAGGAGTGTGAGTGAAAACATTCTTGGCTGCACCAGCGTGTGTCTCCAGTCCTGAGGGAGCTGGTGTACCACTTTGATAGAGGGTCTTAATTTGGAGTCCATGATGGGCCAAAGTTATATGCAAAACCCTTGTATATGTACATTATTTTGGAGAAAAAGTCCTTAATATTCATCAGGTTTGCCTTTCTGGAAAAAACAGCTTAGAATCAGGCAACTTGACTCCTTTTTAAATGTAGCTTCAAGCTTGGTCTGCTCTAAAGTGAGCAGAGACTGCCTTAGCCTCCTTCGGAAGCCTGTGATGTTCATCTCACAGGCATCCTAAGCATGCATTTCCATGCTCTGGCTCCTGACTTTCTGGAGAGAATGCTTTGCATCTGCTGCCAATGAAACTTAACTTTAGCCATCAAATCCAGAGCACTTTTATGTCCTCAGGTGGATATTGTCAGAGACTTGTTCTTTAAAATCCGCAATATTAAGATCTTAGGTGACAATATCTAATGAGCATTCCCTTGGCCTTGGCTGTAGTTTTCCAGAAACATACACATACAAATGTCATGGTGTGACTACTTTTCTAGCTTTTGTCAAAAGCTGGACAAAATCCTGAAATCCTGTTTGAAGAAATAATTTCCAACACCATCTTTTCATAATGTTGCCCCACACGAAACATGCCCTCTTCCTTGAAACAAGCCCTAATACAGGCCTTAAATATATGTCCCCCGCAGTTACTGGCATAATGAGTCTCTCATGTTGTTAAGAACATTTTATATAAGGTGTTTACTTTGTGCCTTGGAATAAAATTGGGAGGGATCTAGAAATAAATAGAAGATGGTACTGAAAGAGAGTGTAGAAACCAGGCATCTAGCCATTGAAGCCACTCAAAAAGAGAGAGGGAGGGAGAGAGAGATGAAACCATAAGATGCCTGTTTCACTTATCTATTGCTGCATGACAAATCATCTCCAAACCTACTGACTAAAACAGCAATGATTATTTTTGCTCACAATTCTTTGGGTCAGAAATTTGGGGAGGAGTCCCATGTGGTCTCAACTGGGGTGGTTTGACTGCAACTGGAGGATCCAAGATGGCCTTACTCCACATGTCTGGGACCTAGTACTAGCTGTTGCCTGGGACACCTTGATCCTCCTCCACGTGGCCTCTCTCTCCATGTGATTTCTCATCATCCAGTAGTCTAGGCCTAACGTCCAAGAGGGCAGACACAGAAGCCACAAGGCCTCTTAAAGCCTAGGCCTGGAACAGACAAAATGTCACTTCAGCTACATTCTGTTGGTCAAAGCAAGTTACAAGCCCAGCCAGACTGAAGGGGCTAGAAAGGATGGGAGGATCAATGTGCACATAGAGGCGTGGAAGGAATCGTTGGCTGCCATCTTTGCAGGCGCTCTACCGTAATGCCTCTCTCCCCATCACTGGCAGGCTTGCATGTAGTTCCTATTGG